TGATCTCCACACCAGACGAAGGAATGCAGCCGTCTATGGCAGGATAGCTGCCAGCCTGGCCCCCAAAGGCCACGTGAACCCAGGAGCAAAGGCCACGTGAACCCAGGAGCAGGTTTGCATGAAAATCAAGTTGGTCCGACAACCCTGAGCCCTGAGCTTCCCCTCCCCCTTCTTTCCCTTGCTTCCCCCTTTCAGCTCCCTCCTCCCAGGTTTCCCCCTCCTCTCTCCCACCCTCTCATCTCCTCTCTCCCACCTCCTTTCCCCAGTCTCACCAGAGTTTCATTCTCTCCCCCCCCAATTACGTTAAATAAAGAGAGTTTGTGTTCATGAAAATATGTGTATTTTATTTGACATCAGGAAGCGGGTCAGGGAGGGGTAAGTGGAAGGATGTGAGGGAGGAATGAGGCACAAGCAAGGAGGCTCTTAGTGCTCGTCAGGATGGAAGCTCTCCCACAGGGCAGATGGACCTCCCAGATGGCAGCCTGCAGGCTCATAGCAATGTGTCCAAGAGAAGCCCAGGGACAGCTCTGGCTCTATGTTGCAGAGTGCTGTGGTGTCCCAAGTGAGGGCAACCAGATCACGGAGGAACAAAATGCTTTGCTGTCCCTCATTGAGGTAGGCAAGCAAGCAGGGAAACCTGAGAACAGGCTGTCCAGGGCGTGTCCCTTTAAGCACAGACCTCAGATAGCCTCAGGCAGCAGCCCCACACAGTAAGTCCTGACTTGGTGCCCTGCTGGAACTGGTTCCGGCCAGCCTTAAATGTGATTCAGCGTCCATTCAGTGTGGACGCACTATTTCAAAATAGCAAAATGCTATTTCGAAATGCGTTTTGTGTGTAGACGCATTATTTCAAAATAAGCTATAAGATATTTCAAAATAACACTGTAGTGTAGACGTACCCTATGAATTTGGGTCTGATCCAGCTTTGCTGAGTCTTTCCACTGAGTTCATTCGCCTTTGTGAACAATTCTTGAGCCTAGAACATAACACACATTATTTATAACTACCCATTCAGATGTTGTATTTAACAAATAAGCTACAAGATTCACTTATAATTCATTGTGTTGGTATACACTCTTCATGATAAATTCACTTACTAGAATATTCATGGAAAGTCAACACAAGAAAGCCTCTCACACTTGGGCAGCAAGTTAGCTAACAAATTTAAATGAATTTTCAAGGCTTTTTTTCCAGAATTTATCCAAATCTAAAGTGTACTGAATGTACCTGCATTTGCTCTCTTAAATTAGCATCATCTACAACAAGAAACACAAACAAATATTATACTGGGTTTCTTGCTGTGTTTGCTAGTTTTGGGGTGGGCTGCTGTGATCCAAACTATTTGTATTTTATTTGGCATCAGCATTTCCTAGAAAAAACACATTATTTTGAACAAAAATTCTAGACCATGTATTTTAAGGGTATCAGGAATTGAGGCAGATGTGAAGGGAACATGCTGTACAAAGATATAATTACAGGAAATAGATCAGATATAACAAGGAAACCCTCACATCCCTAATAGAGAAATTGCCACCAGCCATTGTTTGTTTAAGCCATATTGTCGCCTGCCACTGTATGTCTACCTTGATTCACCTACAACATGACTCTAGACTTCTGATGTCCATAAGCAATAGTTATGACTTTAATTCAGATGAGCCACTAGCAGCTCAGATCTGTAAGAAGTTCAGCCAAAATTCAAGCTATTTAAGAATGGCTTCCTAACCCCCAAAAGTGAGCTTCCTCAATTTTTAGGAAAAAGAAGTGCTTATCTGACAAATATAAAAATAAAACATCTGTAAGTCCCTTAAGCATTGTGTTTACTGCAAAAGCATCTTCCTCCTGCTGAGATGGCATTAAATGCAGAAGTTCAGTAACTGCGCTTCCAATATCACAATTTTTCCATTTGAAGCTTTGTCAAAATATGATTGAGCATAAAGACAAAGGATGAGTTCTGCAGGGAAGTGCTTATCTGACAAATATAAAAATAAAACATCTGTAAGTCCCTTAAGCATTGTGTTTACTGCAAAAGCATCTTCCTCCTGCTGAGATGGCATTAAATGCAGAAGTTCAGTAACTGCGCTTCCAATATCACAATTTTTCCATTTGAAGCTTTGTCAAAATATGATTGAGCATAAAGACAAAGGATGAGTTCTGCAGGCGTTACT